GGGTCGCATACGTGTATGATGTCGTTTCTGTACGGTTATGAATGTCAACTTTGGCCGTTTGGGCATACCCGATTTACGGCAAGCGTCCATCAATTTCTGGGATTCATAGTCGCGGACAGTTTGAAACTGGGATTCACTAATACCGTCCCTGTAGTAGATTATATGTTCGGGCGGCGACCTATTCATCAGCCGATATTTGGCCAACAAATCCGCGATCATCTGATCAAATGCGTCAATCATTTCCACTGCCTGTGCCCTCAATGTCTTGGGCTGWGCCCTGACCGCAGTCGCGAAACGACAGTAGGTRTGGTCTACCGAACCGATACARGCGGCTACCGATGCTTCCARTTGGTCAGCGGGTGCCGGATGCGATACGTCGGCACCGATAATCATTATYGGCGACCGATTGGTGCCAACCGTACGCAATACTACGGGCTTGTCCTGGCCTTGATTACGGTCACTTAGTACCCGATTAATGCCATCCAATTTTATATTGATTTTYARCAATAGATTTGAATGAACACCTAATKAWKAAAAAAAATAATTTTAATTTAATTTAATTAATTATTAATAAATTAACTAAATTATTGACCAAATAATTCAAGTAATAATAATAATAATAACTAAAAATCAATTGAACTAAAAAAAATAGTTTTTTTWAATYATAGTTTAATAGTTAATTTTTATGTTWTWTTTTKTWAACTAAACTAATTTAGCTAGATAAATTTTTAATTTAYTAACTAAATTTTTAATTAACTAATCTATTGATAGATTTATTTATTTATTATTATTATTATTTTTGTTAACTATTTTATAGAAATTTCAATAAAAATATATTTTAATTATAATTATAATAGTTATTATTATAATTAATAAACAGTTATTTTTTGAAACTAAACTAATTTAGCTAGATAAATTTTTAATATACTAACCTAATTAACTTTTAAAAAATTTATAATTAACTAATCTATTGATAAATTTGATTATTATTAGTATTTTATTGTTATTATTATTATTATTATTATTGTTAACTATTTTATAGAAATAATTAATAAAACAATTAAAAAAATAAATATCTTAATTATGATTATAATAGTTATTATAATTAATAAACAGTTATTAAACAAGTTTAGGGGGGGGCGGAATTGGTATCAATTTTTTTCTCAGATGGTATTACCGGTTAGTAATAACAAGATTAATGAAACATACGTTTATTTTCGGCAACATTACTATCTTTGATACACTGTGTGGCACTCCTCGCTTACAATCGGCTTCAAGTTTAATYAGATTRTAAACGGGACTCCTGTCGGGTARTATSCAKACAATCATTTGCAATCGATTGGCCGACGCCGCYCCCGACGAACACATGGCCAGTGCATCGGTAAACATTTGCGATACAGTCGGCAATGGTTGGCCAGTATTATAGCTACGTACTAGTTGTGTAGGTCTCATAGTCATACCCAGTTTAGCGGCTTCCTGGCCAAGTTGCCGAAAAAAATCRTCAATATGTTGCCTGYTGACCACCAGGGGACTCARATTRATGATAACCCAGTGGTCAAGTTTGACGGGTTTYARCATTTTCTGCCGATTTTGCCTGTCGAGGCCATCGATACGSGGMGSGGCCAGTACTCGGSCTTCAAATTTTACGGGTCGGGTATCGATGGAWATCTTGAAYTCCTKGAGATAGTCMCGTGAGTCGGCCKCGATTTTRCGTACCGATCGGTCAATTTCTTCGAAACGTTGGACCGGCGWTTGGYTACCTGTGCCCCGACATACAGTATTAKACATACAAAACGATTAGTATATATTAGTATATATTAGTATATATTAGTATATATTAGTATATATTAGTATATATTAGTATATATTAGTATATATTAGTATATATTAGTATATATTAGTATATATTAGTATATATTAGTATATATTGAGATAACCCAGTTAGTATATATTAGTATATATTAGTATATATTAGTATATATTAGTATATATTAGTATATATTAGTATATATTAGTATATATTAGTATATATTAGTATATATTAGTATATATTAGTATATATTAGTATATATTAGTATATATTAGTATATATTAGTATATATTAGTATATATTAGTATATATTAGTATATATTAGTATATATTAGTATATATTAGTATATATTAGTATATATTAGTATATATTAGTATATATTAGTATATATTAGTATATATTAATACGATTAGTATATATTAGTATATATTAGTATATATTAGTATATATTAGTATATATTAGTATATATATATTAGTATATATATATTAGTATATATATTAGTATATATATTAGTATATATATTAGTATATATATATTAGTATATATATATTAGTATATATATATTAGTATATATATATTAGTATATATATATTAGTATATATATATTAGTATATATATATTAGTATATATATTAGTATATATTAGTATATATATATATATATATATATTAGTATATATATATATATT